AAAATTAATTTTCATCCAGGTGATAATTCAATAATATTTTATTAAAAACTTGAATTTCAACCCAGGTGAAAATTAATTTTTACCCAGGTGATAATTCCAGAATTTATAATTAAAAACTTGTATTTTCATCTGGGTGGAAATTCACCCAGGTGATAATTCAATAATATTTTATTAAAAACTTGAATTTCCACCCGGGTGAAAATTAATTTTTACCTAGATGATAATTCTAGAATTTATAATTAAAAACTTGTATTTTCACCCAGGTGATTTTATTTATAAATTCTAGAATTATCACTCAGGTGATTATTTATTTCCACCCAGGTGAAAATACAAATTTTTAATTCAAAATTATGTTTTATAGTCATATTCCAGTTGTTTAATAAAAAATTAAAATAAATAAATGATGTGGTATACGAACCACCGTATCTATCAACTTGTTAAGCAACCATTTAGTTGACTATTTCTCTTCAACCTTAACATTATCTTATTATCACTCACAGTTCTTCACTGAATTTAACATTGTGTGTGATTAATGTTTGTGTTCCGTATCATATTCTTGGTCGTCTACTTAAAGTGATACTACCTCTTAGAATGAACATAAAATTTAAGTTCTCGAAATGGTCAATATGAGTATATATTCATCAGTGAACTTACCTGGTGTCATAAAGTTACAACAGAATCCCTGTAAAATCTAGAAAATTGGAAAATTCATAAAACTAAGTAATTATTGAAAAACACTTAATCTTGATATTAAGCGTTTTTCAATAGTTAATTGCATATTTATGGATAATTACTAAGTTTTTTGGATTTATCGGATTATATAAGGATCCTGTTATGTTATTTATGACACCAGGTATATCTACTGGCTCTTATTGGCCAAGTTTAAAATTCTTCAATTTTATGTTAATTCTAAGACGTAGTATCACTTTAATATTATCCAAGCTCATCAGAATCACAATAGGCCATGGAGAGTTTGGGATGCATCCCCAATATTTTTCTTCACAATTTTGAAAATTTACCTAACCGGATTTTTTGCCCAATGCTCATGACTTTAACATTAAGTTGATGAATTGGATCTAACCTGAAGGTCCAGGGTTCAATCCCGACATAGGTCGAGATAATACCTTCGGATTTTTCAACCCGGTTTCCCCCTGTCAGTGATGCCGGTAAGAGGGGCTGACATGGAAAAAGCATCTAGTCGTTCAGATGGGAGAATAAACCGAGGACCCGTGTGCTACAGGCTGTGCACGTTAAAGATACCTCGACAATTGAAAAACGAAAAAGGGCAGGCTAATGCCGCTGTCCTGGCAAAATTTCCCTCATGACACCCTGCATGGCGTTGCCCGTCTTCATTAGCCCACATGGTGCAGAAAAGTAGGACGTAAAACTCCATTCATTTCATTTCATTTGAGTTCATACATAAAACTAAAATTTTAATGTCTGCTAACAAGGTGTTGGGATAGTTTAAAATTAACATTTTATATTTTTCTTTGACTAATAGGAAGCACGAAGGAAGGTAAAGGTTTCCCAACAAATTTACCGAATTTTGTTTAACCATTTTATCCGCATTCTTTTCCTCATCCTGAAAAATGCCCCTAACCTCAACCCTATTGATTAATTGTTTGTTGAAGATCTTATTGCCCAATTATTATTAGATTAGATTTTGAACATTTCGTTCTCATTTCATTTTTATACGCCCACATTATAATATGGTCGTATATTGTCGTCGCCCCTGTCCGTCGGTCCGTCCACAATTGGTTTGTGAACGCGATAGAGACTACAGTTTTCCTCTGATTTGAATGAAATTTGGTGTGACCATTTATATTGATGAGATCTTGGACAAGTTCAATATTCACGATTTTTCGATGAACGGTTTTTGAGTTATTGCCCTTGACTTATGAAAAACGCGTCAAAATTTGGTTGTGAACACAATAGAGACTACAGTTTTCATCTGATTTGAATGAAATTTGGTATGACCATTTATATTGATGAGATCTTGGACAAGTTTAATATTTACGATTTTGCGATGAACGGTTTTTGAGTTATTGCCCTTGACTTATGAAAAACGCGTCAAAATTTGGTTGTGAACACAATAGAGAATACAGTTTTCATTTGATTTGAATGAAATTTGGTGTGACCATTTATATTGATAAAATCTTGGACAAGTTCAATATTCACGATTTTTCGATGAACGGTTTTTGAGTTATTGCCCTTGACTTATGAAAAACACGTCAAAATTTGGTTGTGAACACAATAGAGACTACAGTTTTCATCTGATTTGAATGAAATTTGGTGTGACCATTTATATTGATGAGATCTTGGACAAGTTCAATATTTACGATTTTGCGATGAACGGTTTTTGAGTTATTGCCCTTGACTTATGAAAAACGCGTCAAAATTTGGTTGTGAACACAATAGAGACTACAGTTTTCATCTGATTTGAATGAAATTTGGTGTGACCATTTATATTGATAAAATCTTGGACAAGTTCAATATTCACGATTTTTCGATGAACGGTTTTTGAGTTATTGCCCTTGACTTATGAAAAACGCGTCAAAATTTGGTTGTGAACACAATAGAGACTACAGTTTTTATCTGATTCGAATGAAATTTGGTATGATCATTTATATTCATGAGATCTTGGACAAGTTCGAAATTGGCTATCTTTCGATGAACGGTTTTTGAGTTATTGCCCATGACTTAGTAAAAACGCATCAAAATTTGTTAGCGATAGAGGTGACAGTTTATGTCAGAATTTTATTAAATAATGTGTGTTTGTTTAAATCAACAATATCTTGCACAAATTAGATTTTTGGTATGATTTGACACAGATAGCTGACTGCCCTTGATATACTGAAAATGTATCAGGAAAGTGGGCGTATCTTGCTAGGCAACCACTTGTAAATCTTTTTCATGAAAAAATCTAGTTTTTCCCTAGAAATATTTGAAGCTGATCATTTGAAACCTATTTTGCAATTATGATAGTATTAATATTCATCAGGGCTGGTTTTTTTTGCCAGTCAGCCAGTGAAGTCTGACCACAATTTGACTGGTGACTTGTTTCAGTGAGTCATCATAGCTGATGATATTTTAAAGATGGGTTTCCTTATTTTTTAGTGTCAAATTAAGAAAACTATTTGATTAAATGGTGTTTTTAATTAATTAATATGTATTCTTAATCATATCATAATGTTCTTATTGCATATAATTAAGAGTTTTAACCAATCATAAATGTACATGTATGTACAGTCTGGATAAACAAAAAAAAGACTTTTGACCTTTCTTGATCGGTCACTCATTGGAATTCTGCTGGTAATTCTCTTCTAATTTAGCTAATTATGAATTAATTATGGACATGTGAGATAAACTGGTATGTTTCCAAGTCATTAGAACACCTCTACTTTCTATTCATATAAGTATTAGCATTTTCATTTTCATAAATGAAAATAAGGGAACCCATCTTTAATAACTGGTCTAATCAATTCTGACTGCGTTCTTTTAATTGTTCATGTAGAATGTAATTTTTGAGAATCCACATTCCTTTTTTGGGGTTTGGCAACCAGAGAGTCCACAAATTTTATTAGGGTTTGGCGACTTCACATTCCTTTTGGAGAGTCTACATTACTGATAATGTTTATGTGGTCTTTTGTAGCAAAAACAAAAACAACAGCAGAAACAGGGGTACTATAAACCACAACAGAAAAAAGAGGAGAAGAAAGAGCGGAATAGACCACAAACGGCGTCAGATCCAAAAACTACCAAACAACTATTGGGCAACCTCTTTCAAGACAAACAGTTTTTGGAAAGTCTCTTTGATGGTAACTTATTTTGAATATATACCAAATCTGACAAGCCATGGCACAGACTTATTGGAGTTCGAGATTTCAGATCCATCCAAACAGAGACTATGAAGTTATCATTTTCCACTCACTTTACAAATTTTAGGCGTTCCTTGACAGTTGGTCAGAGCATTGGAATAGATATCAGTTACATGGTTGTGGGTTATAATTTGGGTTGACATGTCTGCTCACCTTGAAGAAGCCATCTTTCCTCTATTCTTCATGTGACATGAACCTCGTATAATATAATATTTTATGAGGTTTTAAATCTGACTGTTTATATACGTGTTATTTAATTAGTGCTTTTTGAGTTATTTACAATCAAGCTAAGAATACAAGGTTTTGATCACAAGATCCACGCTTTTACGAGCTTTCGAACGGTACCAAAAAGTCCAAATGACCAAATATGGCATATACAAGGTTTCAAGCGGTCACCCACGATATGTTAAGTTGGTTACTTTGAGTTGATGATATGATTGTAAACCAAACTGCATGGTTTACACAAATCAGGATCCCATTATGCTGCATTTCCTTTAGTAATGATCCAGTCCGGATGCCAATACTGCAAAAATCACTTTCATTAGAATAAGTAAGAGTGTTTCCTTATATATGGGTGCAGATACGGTTCCGGTTTTTCGAACCGGACCATGTATTGATTGGTACGGAACCGTATACAGAACCGTGTCCTGAAATGCACATATATGGAAACACAGTTTGGGCAGACCGCACGGCAAAAAGCTAAAAATAGGTAGGGGAATTCCAAATTTTGCTGTTTTTTATTCTTGTAAGAACCTTGACAATACCTGTGCCATGTCGAAAAGAGACCTCTTCTGCATGAATAATCGTATATAAGGAAACACAACCTGCCTTGTGCCGTGTGCTGTGTCCGCACCTGGACTGGAGCCGCACCGATTCCGTACTAAAGGAAACGCAGCTTAATCCGTTTTGCAGAATTCCTAAAAAAAATAACAGTTTTTAATTTTTTATTGGTTGTAATTTTTGTTTCAGAAATGACAAGCAATAACACAGACACAGGAGAGTTTGTTAAAGGGAGAGCATGTGATGGTTTAGAATATCTCCATTCACGTTCCGATTTCTGGCGCCAACAGAAACCAATGTATGCTCGGAAACGTGACAGGCAGCGCCAAGATGAAAAATTAATGCGAAAAACAGATAAAGAATCCACCGGCAATCCTGTTCAGTATATTTTAGATAGACTTGAACAAATTGATGACGGTAAATATTCACAAGATCAAAGTTTATACGCCCACATTATAATGTGGTGATT